GTACCTCTCCTATTTTGAAAGTTTCTACGATTAATTGCGGCTTTATTTTGACCGCACAATAGGACCTTGCTCAATAACGGGTTAAGATAATGAGTTTTTAGGGGATGGATAGGCCCCGAAGAATTCAATTCAATCAGCTATAAACCGTGCATCATAGGCATATTGGTTCCAGCTGCTACAGTTTCAATCACCGGAAAACTGGTGGTTCGAACCCGACCTCTGCCTCTTGACTTCCCCTGTCTAGGCTTGGGCAACCTGGCCGTATCCCAGCCCACGTGCAACCCTCGGGTGGAATGGCAGGGAGGGTGCTACCACTCAGCACAGGGCTGGGAGAAAAGATCTCTGTGAGGGAGACGGTATCCTGGCATGCGGAGAACATGTCCCAACCGGCTCAACCTTTGAAGCATAAGTGATTCATCTACCGCGATTTTCTATCGCGGGAGAGTTCCTTCTTCCTAAGACCATCTGACGTACCTCAGCATTACTAATGCGACGTTCCCACCATACTTGACCAATGCTTTGGAGGCACCGATGACCAAACACTAACATCCTCCGTATATCCTCTGCGCATTGAGGCCAAGCTTCTGATCCATGAAGCAGTATGGATCGCACCACCGCAGTGTAGACTGTCCCCTGACAGACGAACTCACGTCACATCAACGCCATAGGTGTCGGAGTTTGGCAAAAGCTGTCCTGGTCTTTCCGATTCGAGAAATAACCTCATCTCCAGCCAGTCCACCGGAACTTATACAGCTGCCCAGGTAAACAAATTTATCTACCACGTCGATTGGCTCACCTGCAAGCATGAGGTGTGGGTTTGATCCCACCCAGTCTTGTAGTAGCACTTTACACTTTGCAGGTGTGAAGCGCACGCCAAACCGTGCGGCAGGGTTCTTTAGGTTATTTACAAGCGTTTGCATTTGAAAAGGACTTGAACCAATGAGAACAATATCGTCTACATACTCAATGTCTGTGAGGGAACGTCCCGAAATCATTTCGACACCCGAGGTTTCGGAGGCTGGCAGTGAAATTTCAAACAGCATATCAATAACTAAGTTAAAGAGGAAAGGGGAAAGAGGACAGCCTTGTCTTACACCAATGGACATGGAGAACTCAGGTGAGAGCTTCTCGTATACTCGCACGCGCCCACACGAATTAGTATAGTGCCCTCATAATGGATATAAATTCGGAACGGACACCTTTGATCACCAGACACTGCCAAAATTGATGACGATCGACAGAACCAAAAGCAGCCTCCAAATCCAGAAAAACGACCAACGTGGGACGTCTGAAGGAGTGGCACTGTTCAAGAACTTGTCTCGAGGTAAAGATATGGTCGATGCATCCTCAACCATGGTTAAACCCAGGTTGATTCTCACGAATGTCTTTCCCGACAATCCATCAACCTGCGCAAAATAATGCCGGAGAGCATCTTAGATGCAAAGGATACCAGGCTGGTACCACGACGGTTTTCACATGACGTTCTTACTCCCTTTTTGAAAACTGGGATGACGGTCGAGGAGCTCCATTCGGCTGGTATTCTGTTTTCGTTCCAAATCTTCTGCAGTATGGTTGTCAGACTGTTCACCAGGACCTCGCCACCTTCTTTGAAGAGCGCGGGGTGTGGACCATCCGAGCCAGGTGCCTTGTCCTGCTTCAGGATTGAAATCTCAATCTGGATTCCGGTTGCTGATGGTGGGTCGGCGTCAGTGTTCCATTTGGGCTCGGTTGGTTCTTCCAGGGGTTGTATTGAAGGAGAATAGGTGAACTGTTCTTGGAAGTGCTCAGCCCACTGCTCAAGACGGCGATTGAGGGAGTGAAGTGCTGTTCCGTCTTTTCCGCATATTGTCTCACTGACATCTGCCTTCTTTTGACCCGTTGATCAGATCAGTTGAAACAGAGCGCGGCTGTCGCCTGCGGTGAAGCCTTCTCCATCTCCTGCCCCTTCGAAATCCACCAGCGTTCTGTCATTCAAGCTGCTGATTATCCGGTGTTTGATGAACTTGCGTGCGCCGTCATAGTCGCTAGTTGCCGGTATGGTCTTTCTGACAGCAACAAGATCTGCTGATTTCGAAGATATCCAGTATTGTTTAATTCGAGTCAGATGGGCTGGATAAACAGTTCTGAAAGCTGCCAGTATTGCTTTTTTAAACTCGCTTCCATCCATTCTCCAAGCAATCTTTGTCGTCTACATGACTGCGTTTCCAGTAGCTTTCTAGACAGATCAGCAGCTCTGTAGCTACTGAAACTTGTCGAAGTTGATGAACGGAGTTGCTCTCTTTCGGCACGCGCAATGCTGGCGGTAAGCGAAGTGCCAAGCGGGCACGCACGATGGCGTGATCACAGTGAAGTTGCGTACCCCAGGAGGAACGACAACCTTTAACTGAGGATCTCCTCCGACAACTGACAGCCATATGGTCCAATTGAGTCCATGAGTGTCTTGTGGTAGGTAATCTCCATGTAACTCGGTGTGTGCGTTTGTGTTGGAAGTTTGTAGTGGTCAGGAACAGACGACGATCTGCACACAACTGAAGAAGCCGCTCTCCATCATCCGTACGTTCAGCATCGACTTCAAATCGACCACCTAATTGTGCTTCTTCCCGACTTAGTCGTCCAACTTGTGCATTGATATCACCTGTCGGGATTACTATATCCGTCCTTCTTGCTGACTGTAGCAGTCGTGACAGATCTCAGAACTGCCATCTACTTGGGTGTATGCTGATACGACAAACACCGTTTACCGCATTGACCTGCGTTAATCTCAATTGAGCCAGGCAACCGCACAGCGCAAAGTCGACTGTTTACTGGTATCCAGTCCAGTAAGGCGCTTTCAGCCTTGGGGCTGAGTGTAGCTCCCATACCGTAGATACAACCAGCTTGGATACATTGCGCCAGGATCACCGGACAACCGAAGAGTGAAATGTGGAACATCTGGGCTCGTCCTAAGCGATTTGGGGAGTACGACCGAAGTGGGGTCATGTATGCGTGTTTCGGAGACACAACATACATCGATAGAGAGGGAAAGTAACGTTTCAGCAAGAGATCCCTGTTGCCCGATTTGACATGGAGAACGGAAAGTGAAGGTTCCAACGTGGACCAGATTTTTTGAGGTTAGTAGGTGATTATTTTGGTTTATTTTTCTGGGCGATGGTTGAGACACGGAACAGCGGCTATGGGATTGGCAGATGGGTTGATTGCACTGCACTGTACGATGGGTTGGGAGGGAATGAGGAAGAAGGCCGGTGAGCGAGGAGCTGCAAGGGGAAAAGGTAATTCCCGGTTGCCCAGGCCGAAGGGGGCTTCGACCGTATTGAGTAATGCGCCGGCGGTCACGGTCAACCGTAGGGCGATAGAAGTGTGCGGTTTTTGGGGTCGACCTTTTCTAACCCGTCCTTCCTCAGGGGAAGGCAGTATCGCAGCTTCCATAAATATGGACATGCTGGTGGCCTGGGAGAAACACCTCTTATCACAGAGGACAGTACGACTTTACCTTCAGACCGCCTCGTGATGTGATTGCTTGCAATACGGGGACTCAATTTTCTTCATTGCGCTGCTCCCCGTTGGCCTTACTGGCATGGTTGAACCTTCAGGAACCGAGTTCCAGCCGCACGATCATCACAGCCCAGAAGCCCGACCACCACGACAAGGTGACGGCTTTAGGTCGGACCCTGATGAATAAACGTGGACAACAGAGACTAGACGTTAATATCGAGGTGCCAAGTGCAGGAGGGCTCTTCTGGCATGTAGCCCGGGTTGCCCATTCGTTTTCAACTAGACCGTTGATAGGTGACTTAGGCTATCCATATGAACAGCCCACAAATGACAATTGGCATTTTGTGCTAGCAAGAGAGCCATCACATCGTCGTACGCAATCTATGATTGCCAAAACGACATTGCCTGTCGCTGTACTCGACCCACAGTAGTCTGTCTCGACTTTCACAGCCTTGGACTCAGTGAAGAATCTCCGGACAGTTGCGCTAACACATGGTGCCATACCTACGGTCCAAGTAACCCAAGTGGTTAAGGCACGAATTTACTGACTGGAAGATTCATAGTTCGAACCCTACCTCCGCTGTCTAGGCTTAGGTAACCTGGCCGTATCCCAGCCCTCGTGCAACCTTCGGGTAGCATGGCAGTTAGGCACTGAAAGGGTGCTACAGCTGAACGATGTTTTTATGCCCACGGTCCACCGTAATGAATAATAATCCTTCAGCTGTAACACATTTTTAACGCACAGCTGCCAAGCCAACCTAAATAAGCACAAGGGATGAGATACTGCTAGCGTACCCAAGCCTAGGCGGAAGCGGTCGAAATGTAGAAGCTGGGATCGCGCTCACACCCACTTCTTCTGGGTCATTCGATTTGGAGGCAGTCAGAATCGCGCACCGAGCGGTAATCGCATGAACTCATCGACGGCATCTGGTTTACCCACGAGCCCCTGCACGACACCCCTCGAAAATTCTTGCCGCGTGGTTACCCCCAAAAGTGCCGTTTTGTTGTCGGGGCTTTCGTGGGTTATTCGAAACTATAAATGCGGAACATAATTTACAAGAAAACATGGATGACTTACCCATAGTTCCGGCAACTAGCTGCAAGATTGCAACTTTCTAGCATCGGTAATGGGGGTGTAAAGCAAAAACAACGACCACAGTAATATTGACGGAACCAGAATGGAGCCAAATTAGTGTATCTAAGTGAGTCTCCCGCATCCATTAAACTTTTCTGATATCGCTGTTCGAATTTGAACGTTCTACCTGTAAGTTCTACAGCTTTTATTGAGTCCATCCATTTAGCCTTTAACTCGCACCGTAAAAAATACAGTGGTGGATACTGACAAGCCGTTTTTAATTTGAGTAAACAAGGACAGCGCTACTCAAGTTAGTGAATCGTATACTTAAACTATCGAGAGGGTGGAGATGGTGCACTGCAAGGGACAAGAGCATAGAATGGCTAAGTTGAACCGAATTGGGTCTGAGAAAGCGACATTACGAGAAAAAAGAATGGATATCAACACTTACTTAATGGGATCAGCACAAGGAAACGGCGGCAAGTTGGAAGTTAGGAGAAATGGGGACGTTGAGGTCGCAGCAGCAGCAGCGAGCAAAGGAGAGGCTGAGTGGATAAAACTAGATGCTATGCATTGTGGAAAGAGTGGAAAGGTCGATCCAGATGAAGAAGCCAAGAATTTACTGTTCTGAGCGGCGGGAGAGCCGTTCACCGATGAGGTTGGGGAGGTACTAGAACCCACGAGTCGCCCGGTCGTACCAGAGGAGGAGTTAGACTTGGAATCACTTTGATCTATTTCATTGAAGACTTGCGAGATGGCCCCAAGCTTCTGGATGCATTTGTGCAAGAAATCAGCGACAAAAGTTTCATGGTCCAACTGCTGTTTCAGTTCGTCGATAATCGCACATCGTTTCGACTCCTCGAACTCAATCGCTTGCTTCTGCTCTAAGAGAGAACCAAATTGGTCCGCCTTCAAGCACTCTAACTGGGGAAGCTGTATGGCATCAGGAAACCGAGAGTTCCATGAATCAAGAAATTGGTTCGAGAAATTCATGGTTTGGAAGGAAGCAGTTAAATAGGACGAGATGCCGGAGACTGTAACAGTATAGTAACTCTTTTTAGATCCACATATGAGTCCCTCATCGAATGACACCTGTCTGTCTTTGGCACCCAGAGTATCACGCTGAACAGACAATGTGATGTAGCGGAATGTAAGTCACGCTGAAATGCAGTCATTCAATTGCCAGAATAAAAACAAGTTCGGAAGCTCCGAGGACTATCCCCGCCCCATATGAAGTAAAACGGTCGATGACACAATAATCCAGTGTAGAACACTACGCACATGAACACCGAGGAGATGCAGTGCATCAGCATCAAGGCCGACGTCGACCACGGAGACACAACATCGCAAACAGCGATCAGCGTGACTCCGCACTCAACCTATAGAAAATACCCACCTCTCATTGGTCGAAAGGCCTACCATTGAAAAACGGCCAACGACCACTGCCAATTCGGTCCTGAAAACATATGTACCTGTCGCAGTTGGAAGATAAGACTTATGGTCAAAAAATTTTTGAGGGCACCTTTGGCCTGTCGGAATTTTTCTAACGAAAACCTCGTTTAATTCCTAAAGCGAGACCGACTGATGTACAGAGTAGAGCCGCCCAAGACCATGAAATGATGGGGCCGCATTGGAAGCACTTCCTACCATTGACTGATGGAATGACTGCTGGTGAGAGTATCAAAACATGTCTAGAGCTTCTCACGTCAATGGAATAAGTTTTTTTTTGATTACAGTGATAAATAGCGAATCAGAATAGATGACAAGCAGAATGTTATTTTTCGATTTCAGGCTTCGGCATGTAGTTACGAGAGTAAATATAAATAAGCATTGTGATCACTCTTGCGGGGCGCATTTGTACCTGTTATGCATTCTTACATAATACACACTGAATAACAGTTTTCTTTATTATAGCTTTGAAAATGCAGTTTAGTGGAGATGAATTAAACCAGCTATTATATGCTTAATGCGTTCAAAAGACCTCTCGAAAAATATACATGAAAATAAACCAATAAGGGGCTTGGGCATGTTAGTAGCGAACTACCATTGACGTTTCGAAATGCGGGCGATCGTGATCGCGTCGTGGCTACATACGGTGAACTATACAGGTTGTGCGTTCAAATTCAATCTTTTCTAACTCTCCGAACATGTCAAATACCGTAAATGTTCATATTTTGTAGCCACTCTGAAAGTTTGTTATTTTCACCATTCTTGAGACTTGTTTTAATCTACTAAACGTAACCACACAGTTGTCATAGGGAATAGCAACATTTCGAAAATGACTTACAGGTGAGTATACATTTTTAACTTGTGATGGTTTGGCAATCAGTCAACACAACAAATATACACCCAGTTTTGTAACAAATCAATTCATTTTTCATTGTCTTTTTGGTAATGGCGGTATACTCAGGCGGAAACGTCTAGTTAGTATACTAAAATAATGATCGCTTTCGGTTCAACTCGCCTTCGAGGGTGCAGACCACATAATTATCGGTGCGCCGGTTAAAACCGCGGTGAGGTATAGCTGCTGAGAACTGACAATGGCTTCTGCGTTGTCTGTTTTCACCCGGATTGCTTGAATGAGTTTCTGTGTACATGTTGGCTTGAACATTTTAGTACTCATCTACCGTCCACCGGAATTTACCGTGGTTTGCCGGTTTTCCAACTTCAACAATCCATTCAGCTAAACTTGGGTGTACACGCGACACTCAGAGTCTCTCATACTAGGTTGGGCATTGGTTAGCGGTGTGACGAACAAAGTCTCCTGGTCCTCGGGGTTCAAGGATGGAACACATGGTGACTTGTTGCGTAGAAATCGTAATGATTTGCGTTTCCCTCCAAACACCTCTGTCTTGTGGTCTGGCTTTTTAGCCTAAGACTTTTGCTGAGGACCCTACTCATCCTCTTGTATATGTTTGGGCACCAGAACGGTATCCCAACCCATGTACAGCCATGATATCCACGGTAGTAATGCGTCAGTGTTGACCACTGATGACGGTGACTTACTTACCCGTTTAAGAGTTAGGCGTGGATTCGCTGGCACCAGACAGATATATACCTCTCTGTCGCCACAGGCGTTAAAATTCGGCACACATAACCCAAAGCTTTAGAACTAGTGCATTTACTTTATCTGTCACAATACAAATCAAACTATTACGACTCCCAAGACAGAAAGTAGACTCCACAATCCTGAAGCCTCTCCAAGCACTTAGAGTGGTTCCTTCAGTGACTGCATTTTTAGGAAAATGGCCTTACACTTTGTCAGTGCAAAGATCATGCCAAAAGACTTTGGTTGGTTTATACAAAAATACTTGCTCTTTCTCTTTCCCCCCAGTAAACACAGTGCCACCGGTGGCTAACGGTGTCCAAACGTGGCTAGCTTTGCCACTGATTCCGTTGGTGAATACAAGCCAAACATGGTATTTGTTGCATCAAATCCTTCTGAAAACAAATGTAGCGGGATATTCTGGATACCGATTTGTTTGGATGCACCACCGATTAAATATATCATGAAATTTTTGGGTTGCTACCTTTGGCCGCTTTTAGCCACCGGTGGCGCATCGATGGCAAGCGTAACATGCCACCCCTATTTGCCACCGGTGGTACCGCTGTGACGTGTTTACTGGGTCTTCGAAAACAAAAGCGGTTTCCGTAAATTTCAGGTCGACAAGGCCTTTGTCAATAGAAATATCAGCATTAGTGCTTTGAAAACCACAGTTCGTTTCATTATCTGATCGATCACGAACTATGGAGGGAGGGCACTTCTGTCGAAGGTCGATTTGTGTATGAAGAACTTTTTGATAGCTCTCAGCATATCTTGACACCTTCGGAATCCTGAAAATCCAAGGAACCTATTATGTTCACAATCTTCCAAGGCATTTCTTACTGTGTCAACATGTCAGAAAAAGCAAACTGGTAAAATAACCTAAACTTGTCTTGAAAACCTAGAAACATAAATTATGGGATGGTTATACTTAAGCTGCTGTTTTAGCACATAACTAATCGTCCGGATTTATTCAACACAACCCATATTAGTCTGAAAGTTAACTTTATGCTTTTTAATCAATTCCCAATGGTTCACTGTAATGTGAAAAAGACATGTGATTCAGGGGGTCTGGTTGACTTTTGAGATTGTGACCACTGAATTAGACGAACCAAATGACCGATGTGGGCTTGTCACTCGGTCAATGGTAATCTTGCACCAGAGATAGCACCCTTACTGCATAGCTTTTAATCTGTGCCACATCAATAAGAACAATTCAATGTTAATTAACTAATAAAGCCATCATTCATGACCCGTGGCATTTATCCTCTTGTTCTCTTAATTCGTTATCCTGCTGATCCTCGACAAAAAGGTTTGTAGCAGCTAAAACCACTGCAACTTGATGCAAAGTTTACGAGCTAAAACTGAAAACTGGAGCCAAACTTTCCTTCCTTGATTGCCGCCTTTTTTGTAAATGGATACCCACTGATTCTCTTCGATTGACTCCTTTTCCAAGATTCAGGCGAGTATATCAGGCAAAGACAGATGGCTACGCCTACATCCTTGAACAACGCGGCTAGCAGGACATTCTGGCCAAGATCTCAGTGGCTCCTCAGAGAACATACGGCGTCATTAGCCTCCGGGGCCGTGATTGTTTCAGGTTAATTATCCATGGTTCTGGTGCAGTTATACAGTCAACGTGATTAAAAGCGGGTGGCTACAAAAATCGTTGTTCAGAGTATCCAGCCCAACGGTCAATGCATCCTTATCTGCTGAAAGTGGTCGCGCCACGTCTAACATAGCCAAAAAGCATATTCCAACACGGCGCTGAAGCCCTTCGTGAACCCAAATGTGCTGCGGTTGCTAAAGCGAGCATTTTACCGGTGACAACCGGTTACTTTGTAATACTGTATGTAACAGTTATCCAACCAGTCATTTTATATAGACAGCTGGCGTTTCACTCGTGCATACTGGTTAACACGAAGTTGCACAGGTCAGACACTTTAATAAATTCAGGAATTTGGGGCCCACCATAAACTGTGGGATATACGTCGCTCTACCACTGAATATATGACGGATATGCCGTATATCTCAAAAGTAGAAAAACTACGGCAACACACTTGGCTAATGCATCTGATTTCGCCAGCATAACGCACGCGCACAAAAGGACATAACTTGGAGCTAAAAATGCAGCAGGTAGACAGGCTGTCTTACTCACAACAAGTGTCAGGTTAAGTGTTAGTGGGCTGAGAACGCTTCCGTGTGTCTATAACACCAGCTGATACAGTGACGCAATTTGCATTTAAAAGAGATCGGCCCTTTGTATTTATAACCATTGAACGGTACAGGAAAGTGACGCTAGATACATCTAACCCCACGACCGTTATGCTGGGACAATAACGAAGAACGAGATCAAGCATGCTCACGGATGTTCTAGTATAGCTCATAAGGATCCGCAATTGCCCAACCGGTGTAGTTCACGTGTATGGCCAGATGTGTGATCTCTTTTTGGAAAATGGCGTAATTGTCGGCAGAATTTATTGCAGTGGTGCATAATTCAAAAACTGACTCGCTATGCGATAGGCTCCTTAGGCCAAATGTTTGTTCCTGATCTTGAGATACATCACTGGTCACGGCTCACGAAATCCGTCCAACGCCGGAAGAATTCAGGCACTTTGTAGTAAGGAGATTACCAACCAAAAGAACCGGCAATTACTACAGGCAGGCTTTTACTACTGCGAGGTGTGCTGTACATAGGGAAGCCGTGGTAAGGGATTTTGGACTATGAGCTAGTGATTACTTACACACAAATATTTGCCATGAGTTACGGGAAATAAGGTAGTTTTCCACACTGTGGAGGCTAGTGTCGACGTTTAAATGATCTTCGGCATGCTACATCGGAATATTTCCATGTTTATAAAACAAAAATCTGCCAGACAGCATACAGAAGTGTTCTGCCAAGTTGATGCTGGCTGAGCTACATCGATAGATACTTATTCTGGAATCCATTTATCCTTCAGAACATATAGGTCTAGTTTTTATCTGTGTACTGTTAAGCTTGACCTTCTGTTGTATCTGCTGATTCGCCGATCTGTTGTATCTGCTGCTGACCCCGCAGTGCCTAGTGCCGAAAAACCTCACAGAAGGGAAAACAACAGCTATACTTCGAACAAGCGAGTAAGCGCGTGGGAGTGAAAAAGTTACAACGACCCTGCGCGAGATGGCCCAAGTGGTTAGAGCGCGAATTTACTGACCGGAAGGTCCGTGGTTCGAATCCGACCTCCGCCACTCGACTTCCCATGTCTAGGCTTGGGCAACCTGGCAGTATCCCACCCCCCGTGCTTCCTTCAGTTGACAAAGCAGCTAGGCACCAGGAGGGTGCTACAGCTGAACGATACTACTATAAATGGCACTTTCTGACATTGATCCAGGCCGTCTGATAGGCGTTTAGTGAACACTCATCAACACCAATCATGCTTCCCCAAAATGTCTGATGCTGACCATGTTCAATCATGCTTCTGTAGCGTGCCTGAACAACCTTCGGCTACTGCTAAATTGATTGAATGATTGACTAACCTGAGTGCTTGCTGGCTTTCCTATTAAGGTTTTGGTGGAGTTTTGGGATCGCAGTGGATTCTTGACGCTCTGGGGTTGATTTCAGGAATCTGACCTTCCTGAAACCTCCCCCTTTTGGCCGTTCAACGTAAGATTTTCGGCCAGGGTTAAGTTGAAAACGTTTTACCAGTCTTCTTGCGCGACCGGTACGGCGTCTCGGTTGCAGCAATGGATTTTTCTTGAACGTTATATCTGAAGTGGTACCTCATGGTGCTGTTCTTGGGAGATCAAAGGTTCCAAGCAGCAGGCTGATGTCTAGTAACTGTTATTCCTCTTTTGGGACCGGGCACTCAGTCGTCAATAGATGATTGACATTTAGTTTAGTTTCCATTGGTTCCACCTGGACGCTTTAGACCACCAGATTAGTTCTTTTGATGAGAACTCCAACAGTCCATCTTTGATGTCCGGGGCGGGGCGCTCCTACAAGCATACGGTTTCCAGGCCGGAACGTTGGCTTCTCTCCTATCGGTGTCGATGTACATAACTTTTCGATCGGCAGTGTTAAAAGACGCGAGTGATCGAACCAATCTATGCTCAGGAGATTAAGCTTACAAGCAGACAGACAATATCACATTCACGGTGACCTGTTATCTCCATCTCACAATCGAATTCACCAAGTAGGTGGAGCTTACCACCTGAAGCATATCTGGCGGTGTTCATTGGTTGTCTGAGTTTCATTGATCCGACCTCCTTCGAGGTGCTCCGGGAAACAATCGTATTATCAGAAGCCGTATCAAGCTCAGTCGAATTGTGCTTTCGTTTGTTCTGATTGTAACACACCTGCGACAAGAATCGATCTGGTTATCAAATGTTGCAAACATTACAATAAAACGGGGTTATGACTGGTTCCGTCTGCTTCGTGACCTCCGGGTTTGACTGTGTCTTTGGTCAGCTTTCCGTGTCCGGCACTGGCTTTTCTTGTGCTCACGTCGATTGCACACTAAACAGTTGTGCTTTTTAAATGGACACAACCACACAAAATACCATTCGCCACATTGCCATCATGCTGAAGGGGACTTTGCTTCGTTCGAATTTTTCACCACGGGAGGTTGCCTCGATGTCGTATTGGCAATGTTGAAAGCAGGCTCTTTCTAACATGGCCGTGTCGTGTTTGAGATTTAAAAGGCGCTGGCACTCATGGGTAATGGACTGCAGCGTTATCTCAGGAGTTTGTTCAATCTTGTTCAGCGGTCTCGCTCTGATGTTACTGTAAAAGGTTTATTAAGCACCCAACCAAATTCATTCTCGTTTTCTTCTAATATTATGGATTTTCAATGAGAAGTTTACTGTTTTAGAGCTGACCCAAAAATTTGTAGTTAGGTAACATTTGTCAATGTAATAAAGTGAAAAGTCGCAGGTAGTCGTCGCATCTGGACGAAAGATCCGACTCGGCCCTTTTTGGCACTTGGACTTCAACGATTTATTTCAAACCAAATGTAATGCGTGACTGCTCCTATTTATATTCTGGCCACACGTCCGGGGCGTAAATGACCCTGGTTAAAACAAAGGATCTCATATCTTTCAAGTCAGCTGGAAGAGCTCTCTACAAGAACAGAGCAATCATAATGCTAACTAGCCCTGTTCCAGCATAATCAAGCCACGGCTAGGAAACTGTTCTCATTGGCTTAAATCTTCAGTGGTTCAAACAATTCTGCTACAAAGATATTTAGAGGTGACCTACTGAGTGCAAAAAGTGAAGTAGGGCATGAGGTGCGCATTTTGAGCCTCAGTTTGTTAATTATGTTGTACTCAATAAGTTTTAGCTTTTCCCCAGTTAATCAATAGCAGACTTCACGTAAGCTTACAAGAATTTCCGGTGAAATGCTTCGGAGAAAAGTGAGAAATCAGGGTTAAGTTGAAAACGTTTTACCAGTCTTCTTGCGCGACCGGTACGGCGTCTCGGTTGCAGCAATGGATTTTTCTTGAACGTTATATCTGAAGTGGTACCTCATGGTGCTGTTCTTGGGAGATCAAAGGTTCCAAGCAGCAGGCTGATGTCTAGTAACTGTTATTCCTCTTTTGGGACCGGGCACTCAGTCGTCAATAGATGATTGACATTTAGTTTCCATATCAATGGTTTCACCTGGACGCTTTAGACCACCAGATTAGTTCTTTTGATGAGAACTCCAACAGTCCATCTTTGATGTCCGGGGCGATAGTCTCCTACAAGCATACGGTTTCCAGGCCGGAACGTTGGCTTCTCTCCTATCGGTGTCGATGTACATAACTTTTCGATCGGCAGTGTTAAAAGACGCGAGTGATCGAACCAATCTATGCTCAGGAGATTAAGCTTACAAGCAGACAGACAATATCACATTCACGGTGACCTGTTATCTCCATCTCACAATCGAATTCACCAAGTAGGTGGAGCTTACCACCTGAAGCATATCTGGCGGTGTTCATTGGTTGTCTGAGTTTCATTGATCCGACCTCCTTCGAGGTGCTCCGGGAAACAATCGTATTATCAGAAGCCGTATCAAGCTCAGTCGAATTGTGCTTTCGTTTGTTCTGATTGTAACACACCTGCGACAAGAATCGATCTGGTTATCAAATGTTGCAAACATTACAATAAAACGGGGTTATGACTGGTTCCGTCTGCTTCGTGACCTCCGGGTTTGACTGTGTCTTTGGTCAGCTTTCCGTGTCCGGCACTGGCTTTTCTTGTGCTCACGTCGATTGCACACTAAACAGTTGTGCTTTTTAAATGGACACAACCACACAAAATACCATTCGCCACATTGCCATCATGCTGAAGGGGACTTTGCTTCGTTCGAATTTTTCACCACGGGAGGTTGCCTCGATGTCGTATTGGCAATGTTGAAAGCAGGCTCTTTCTAACATGGCCGTGTCGTGTTTGAGATTTAAAAGGCGCTGGCACTCATGGGTAATGGACTGCAGCGTTATCTCAGGAGTTTGTTCAATCTTGTTCAGCGGTCTCGCTCTGATGTTACTGTAAAAGGTTTATTAAGCACCCAACCAAATTCATTCTCGTTTTCTTCTAATATTATGGATTTTCAATAAGAAGTTTACTGTTTTAGAGCTGACCCAAAAATTTGTAGTTAGGTAACACTTGTCAATGTAATAAAGTGAAAAGTCGCAGGTAGTCGTCGCATCTGGACGAAAGATCCGACTCGGCCCTTTTTGGCACCTGGACTTCAACGATTTATTTCAAACCAAATGTAATGCGTGACTGCTCCTATTTATATTCTGGCCACACGTCCGGGGCGTAAATGACCCTGGTTAAAACAAAGGATTACATATCTTTCAAGTCAGCTGGAAGAGCTCTCTACAAGAACAGAGCAATCATAATGCTAACTAGCCCTGTTCCAGCATAATCAAGCCACGGCTAGGAAACTGTTCTCATTGGCTTAAATCTTCAGTGGTTCAAACAATTCTGCTACAAAGATATTTAGAGGTGACCTACTGAGTGCAAAAAGTGAAGTAGGGCATGAGGTGCGCATTTTGAGCCTCAGTTTGTTAATTATGTTGTACTCAATAAGTTTTAGCTTTTCCCCAGTTAATCAATAGCAGACTTCACGTAAGCTTACAAGAATTTCCGGTGAAATGCTTCGGAGAAAAGTGAGAAATGACAGACGGTAACCGTGGTGCACCGCAGCTTGAAACGAACTGTGCAGGAAATGAATGTTAGGTCTAACGGACATTCACGAACATTCACAACGGGTAGCTATTCTGATGACAGACTGAATTTTTAAAAGAGCCATTGCGCTCAAAAACAGTACCGATTGGCTTTCAAAATAAGAGAAACATTATTATGAGAAACTTGCTCCCAACAAGGGAGAATGCAAAGTTTCCGTGCAGCATTCCTAGGGGTGTACACTACTGAAATCCTCAATCGACGACAGCTATTGCACTTCTTCAAAACGTTCGGGATCTCCACACTACCACTGTTAATCCGGTTAACCATGCGATTTTGCATGATAAAGTGCAGGCGACATGTCAAGGTCGTATCTGGTTAATTGTTTGTCACTTTAGACCAGGGCTGGGATACTGCCAGGTTACCCAAGCCTAGACAGAGGAAGTCGGGAGGCAGATGTCGGGTTCCAAACACGAAAAATTCGGACAGTAAATTTGCGCTCTTACCACTTGAACTATCTCGCCCCACATAGAACTTGCTAGTGACCCAGAAAGGTTGGTTGAAGTTGGGAATTTAGATCGTTGGTAAATTGCCATTGTCATTTATGTAAGCTGAAATTGTTTTGACACCACTTCTTGGAAGCGAAACAGTGTCCTGTGACATCCGGAATCTGGCGACCTTACTATGGTCAGACATCTCGTCGTCCGGATCTGTGGAAGTAGCCTTGCAACCGAAAAACTGTCCTAGTGGTACTGGATCTATCCTCCAGACCATACCGTCTTTTCTAATTATTTATCATCACCTTTTCCATAACTTTCATACCAAACTAAGCCGGAGAAGCTGCACCATAATAATGCTGATATTGTGGTGGACAGCAAACGCCGTCACAAAACTCACTGCAATTGCTAGATTTATTGCTTACTTGGCCTCAAAACCTTATACAGAAGTGTATTGTCTGGGTACACCAGTGCTCGCTTGATGCTAATTCTCGGTTTCTAAAAGCTATTTGCAAAAACAAATTACCGGAGTAGAGCACATGACGCGTTAGTTTTTTCTCAATCAAAACCAAGTCTTACGAACAGTTCTAAACCTATTTCTACTGAAATCATGGACCTTAGATATTCAAAACCTTTTTAACCTGAACATTCTGACTTGATTCCTCAATGTCGCTACGCTGAGCTGCCTATCTGATCCCTCCGGCAGGCTCGACACTTTCACTAACTGGGTGATGATTAAATTTCTACTAATTAACAACCAAAATTTCAAATAAAACCCCGGTCCAACCGCCGACTGGGTAACCGCTACGTAATTCAATCACTATTAAAGCCGGAGTAAGCATTTTTCTTTCGGCAGCTCATTATGGGAAGTATGATCGAATTTTCGGGCTCCTTTCCTTAAAGATGTGTAATTACTAATATGATATTTGCACTGTACCCGCATATTTTTCAATGAATTTCCAGATGGGCGCAGGGAGCTAAGGGCTTTGAGCTTGGTTTTGTGGATAATAATGTACTGTGTGTCCGAAGTGGACCAACCGTGCGTTTCCAGGACGTCGAAACAAAGAAGTCTACATTATTTCGCTTGTGTTCCAATGCACCATCGTCACTTGTGGTCCATCCATCGGAACCTTACCTTGCCGTATCCGAATTATACAAAACAAACCCGAGGGTATTCGTGTATCACTATCCAGATATGCAAGAGACCATTCTGCGGGGTAGGTTTCCGTTCATTCTCCATTTAATTTCATCTTTGCAGGAGGTGGCAAACTCGAACTCAAACAGACCGCCTTCTCACACTCTTTTTATTTGGTGACCGTTTCTGGAATACCCGATTTTTTGCTGTCTCTGTGGTACGAACTTTGCCAGCTTTGAACCAGTGTGTTTCCTCATAGGGATTTTGAACAAGGCCTTCTGTTGTGTCAAGTTCCTCTTAATGGTATCTATTTGACCACAATAAGCTTTTGTCCACTGAATTGGCGATGGATTGTGGCAACCGATGCTCGTTGTTTCTACTTTTGGCAAGTCGAGTCATGTAATCAGATCACACTTCTGCGGTGCAAGTGGGATTCCCATTTAGTTATTCTAGAAAAATTGCCTATTCCCGTAGATATATGAGACTACCCGAGCAGTCAGCACCACTGGGCGTGTATGAGGACTCAGTTCAGAAGGGAATCACTTGTCCCAGTCAAGTGCCTGACCACACTAGATTTGACCCAAATTTGCCAACAAGTGCTATCTCTGGTATGCTGTGCTCTTTACGTCATGTAACTTGTTCAGGTGTTGGTGAGGCTAAACAAATGGAATTCGAGGATTACTTGGACGATGCTGATCACGTTTTCTGTGTTTCTCAGACATGGTCTAATACGGACCTCGTTTTCATCGGATGCAAAAATGGTGAACTATTATTGGTAGGTTTATTACATCTTCACAGATTTGTTAACGGAGAATTTTTCAGGTTGACCCAAACTCAATGACTATGAAAGTACTCCTGAACCCATTGACAAACAAATCCCTCAAGAAAAGTGGCTTAAACTTTATCTTCTCTAATTAGAGCTTTTAGATCATACTGATAGCCCACCAGAAACTCGGATTATTCCCGTTACTGCTGAAGCTACTCAATCCTCTGAAGTCACAGAACATTCCGAAAACGAAATCGATTCTTTGGCGATTCCTTCTGGTGCTTTTCATTTTCTATTATATACCAAATTCGGACTGCTATGTGCCGGGCGTGACGGACTCCTGAGAATTTTGAGAGTGAATTCTAGGATGATCGAAATGCCAATACACACGAAGAGAACAGACAGTGCACCCGTCTCAAACAACTGTTCACAACTACTTCGGACAGGAATCACGTCATGTAAAATTTTGTACAAATTTCCCAATCCATTTCACGAAAACCGAGGACAATCTACACCGAGTATCACAAGATTATGTGTGTCACCATCTTTCGGACGTTTGTTACTTGGTTCTCGATCCGGACAGATAGTCCTTCTAAACATTTCCTGTGATCTGTTGGCAATTGAAGGCTCCATAAACCCTGAATGTGAGCTTCTTACAAGCAATGATTCATTCGTTGGTCTTGGGATCCTTGGACCGGAGAAGACTAAGGTGTGCGTGGTACGTACTGAGTCACATTTTCCTAATCGATATACATCGATATACCGTACCAACTTACATTGTTGAACTATTTCGAGTTAAAGTTTGCTCTTCTTCCTAATAAAGGTTTTGCTAGCTGATCTAACTGGAGGATTTTCAGGTAGATTTTGTGTCACTTATTCGTCGACCGAAATTTCGTTCCACTTTCGGATCACGTCAAGGTCAAATCAATGGAAGGTGATATCTCCGCCTACTCATGAGTAGACAAAAAATAATCGCAAAACTATCACGGGACATGTGGTCATGTAAAGCTTTAAGTGGGTCATCGATTCAAGTTAACGTCTAACACACACTAAATATCATACGACTCGTTTCATAACCAGAGTTATCTGTTCAACCAATTTAACACACAAAAATACCTCGGTCGACACCCAACAGCGATTTAGCTTGACTTACTGATTGGTTCTCCTTCCGCCTTAAATCTCGATCAACCTCAGAACCTGGTCACTTGGCCTGACGAAGCTTTTGTGTCAAAGGCGAAACGTTGCCCAGCAATAAATCTACCGATTGTCACCAAACTTTTTCGAAAAACGATTGCTAGCTACCTGTTCTTCAGTGGGAGAATCAGGGAGGTCGAAAGCTTATCCCAATATCGTCTGCCTAAGCAAGAATATATATGATTCAGTATAGTATAATTCGATCATGGTGGATGCATTCCGGTGTGTTCGGACGTAATCATTTTCGGACAGCTGGTTAGAGCTTATAAAAAAGGACAGCGAGGAATTACAATAGTACTTCTGGGAGGGACTGACTTGAAAGCATCGAGGAGCAAAAAATTTGAGTGTTGAGACGACTGGTGTGACGATGATTAGGCATGCGAGTAGCACGTGGTTTTCTCATAAATCCGCCTCCCGTCTATTGAAAAGTGAGATTTATCACGGAATTTGTTGAATTGCTTTGTAGCATTCGTTTAGATTTCAGTGATAGTCAATGAGTATCCGGGACACTTCAGGAAGACGCGTTCGAAAAGAAGACGGATATTCGGCTTTTACAAACAAGATGTACATGAGAGTTTTGCTTCCCTGCCCAATAGGCTGTAACTGTTCAGTTGGTGCTTTCCAATAAGCAACTACTCATCGAAATCCTTTCTTTCACCGGTACTGTCCTACTTCCAGAGTTTTAAAACGTTTCAGCCCCTCTGTACTTCCAGTCGTTGTGCAGCTGCTGTATGAAATTTTTCGGTGCAGAATAGTCCCTTCTTTGAAGATTGTAACCAGTAAAAGAGGCTCCGAGAAGTCAGAAGGTGATTTCCGGTTGATATAAAAGGATTACTGCGATTTTGATGTGCATCTGGATGAGGTCTTGACAGATGATCACTTCTTTCTATTTCATTGCAGGCAACTACGCAATTTTCTTAGTTGTATACTTTTTCCATCTGTACAGTCGGCCTCTTAGTTTATCTCAGGTGATCAGTTTTGTTCAGATCAGGAATGCTATCTAGTCAGATCTATAGTTTCAGCCAGCCTAATGGACAAAAGCTCGGGATCAAATGTGACTTGTGGCTGTGCCTCCCTCAACAGTGGAATATTAACATTCACCCGTGCCACTGTTTTTATATTTGAATCAGGTCCCTAGTGCCTGTGCGCTATCGACGGTGTGCTGGTTGTATAAACTAAAAAGACCTGACAAACCAGAGCTCCCGAGTTTAAAAGCGCACGCCTCATTGTAGCAACGCTCTTGAATATCTTAGTCATGCAAAGGGAATCTCTTTTCACCAACACTAGGGATACGGTCCGGTCAATGTCTCAGTGTGGCCAGGAATTCAGTTCAGAATCACCGGTCCGGTAGGTGGGGTCATGCGCGACCAACGAATATCTGCTTCTTTTCTCAGTCCAGAACGTTGTCACTTTTCCCTTTCATCCTGTGGGAGATTGTTCCGATGCTCTGTCAGGTGACTTCAAATTGTCCATAGCTTCAGGACTGAAAACTTTACAACTCTGAATTCTTTGCAAGACCGAGGAGTCCATCCACATGTTTAAACGCTTTAAATTGTTGCTGTTTGCCACGAGTAGACGGTAGTAACTGAAGAAGATAATGTAGCCGTCCACAGCCTCTATCTCGGCAAGAAGTACTTTTACTTGCCTAAGGTTATGGAGCTGGCAAAATTGCACTTTGAATAATAACCATGTCCCAATACTAATTCACGCTCCTGTAACCCTTTATGGTAATGTTTCGATCTTTTTGGCTCTTGACGGTGTGCTCACTGTCGGTTCGGTTTCGTTGCTGTCCGTAATCCAGACGGCCGCATGGTACGTTGATAGGAATTCTGCGCGTCCCACTCACCGGTCATGGAGGAATTACGCACGCATTAGGTGGCAAACGGCCGACACGTAAGCTGTCTTTCTGCTCCTGTTTCTTCTTACCAGCTCATTTTTACATCATATGTCACAGTTTTGGTGCCTGCGACTCCTCACTGTTGCACTATCCCACTTGAAGACTGTGCACCTATACAATGTGACTACAAGGAGGTGATATGGAGCCAAGTTATGCTCGTTTTCTCACAGCTATTTGAATGAAGCGGAGGCTAGCTCGTTGGAGCCATATGAAAGGCCAACGCGATCTGCAGAGCGAAGCCACATGAGACTATCTGAAAGGAAACATAAAATGGAAGAAACCGGTGTCGACGTATCATCAGATCAGAGGAACTCCGGAGAAAATCCTAGCAAATTTTATAAGGAAGGTGTTTTTATGTGAGGAAAATAAGGGTGTGTGAACGGTTAGTCGTGTATCAACTGGTCATTTCGGTTACCAGGTAAATAACTCAGTTTTTACAGAGCTTTATGTGATGCGGCAACTGGGATTGTACGCACCTGCCCTGATCACAAACAGGACAGATGTTTTCTAGAAAGAGCACACAACTCACAAGGTTGTTAGAAACTCTTCGACAGCCCACGAACGGTTGCAATCTTCTTCGGCTCGTGTAGGCACAGTCCTCGGGTTTCCTTGAAACTTATGTTGCGGTTAAACCCAAATTGAACAGATCTGTGAGATGCATTCATACACAAACCAATTCGCTGACACGCTGTTAAACAAAATGAATGAGAGATTTTGTTTTGAAGTCGTTCTATCTCAGAACAGGTCGCTTCTACTTTGCTGCTTTCTCTAAAGTGGCGGTGTGAACCACAAGCATGAAAACGGTCCTTTTAGAGAGTAAAAAAATTCTGTGTTTATTTGGTCCGCACGCTAGGAGGTGCAAATACCGTCCTTCATTACTGTTGGTTCTATACAATTATTACATCTAGTATTATCTCAAAGAGTACATATTCCCGGAAACCCTGTTCTCCAAACCTCTTAAATCATTCGTCTTACGCAATTGTAATTTAGGGACACTTTCCCAACATCAACGGTACTTATTTTTTGCTGCTATTTCAGCGCTCAAACTTGCGAGATGTCCTTTTCAATACACTTTTCTGACTGCTGACGACTACCTCATTGCTTTCAACTCTCTTTTTTTATATTTAGACTGCAAGGCGCAGTGGAGTGATTAACACATGGGACTGCGAATCGGGAAGATTATTGGGTTCTCTGGCTGTTGGAGAGCAGGTTGGTCTTTTGATGCAATGTATATTCCCAGTTTGATCGGATTAAAGTGAGCACTCTTCGCGTCATGGTCCATCTGAGGGTTCAAGCATCTAATCGAAGAATAGTTCAGTGATGGAATGAGCGTGAATTCTTGAATGAAATTCCTTTAGATCTTTAATGTAGTTTTGTGTTTCTCCAAGTTACAAAACTTGTACTCAACTGCCTAAGCCCTGTGTACATAGTGTATCTTTGGTAAGATAGTGAGAACACGTTCTAGGTTAATACGAAAATAGCTTGCAAAAAAATTGCTTGCGAAATACACTCATTTTCACTTGGTTTTGGCTGAAGACTCATAACTCTCACCTAAACCATCCACATCTTGATCGTTGCGAGTGAGCATGTGCATACGAGTGAGAAAGTACACTAAACACGAGTTACTGTCATTCATCTGCTGTGCGTACTCTTCATCATAAAAGAATTCAGAATTTTACTCGTACGACCAAAAGTTGATCCACCTTGTTACGAGCAATCGACAAGTCCAGAATAGGCATTTTAGGACGGAAAGTGAGTCGCTTCGATCAAATGTTATTGCTAAAAATATTGGTGGCATATTGCCTGAGTGATGACTGAGGGTTCGTAGAAACCGGTACCAGTCCCCGAAAGGCTCTGACTCTTGAGCTAAATACATCTTCATCAAATGACTGAAATTTTGATCAGTTCAGTGAAGAATTCTTACTTGGTTTCAGGACAGGTGCCATCTCCATAAGACTATTGTCGAAACCTGACGACTCCCCCCGAAAAATGGTGGGTGTCGGGGTTGAATGTTTATGAGACGGTTGTGCAGGAGGCGGTCTTCCTGATACCTTTGCACTTCAAGTTTACAGTGGGCCTCCCATCAGCTGCAGATTTCCCTTTGTCATCTCAGTGTAAAACGCCTGTTGAGTCGAAAGCATACAAATCTGAATATAATCTTCCATCTCCAATGTGGGTTTTAGGATATTCCAAGCGAGAGATTAAGTAACATGAATAAAAGAGTTAGGTAAATTTGTTTCCATTTAGTCTCTTTTCAAGAGAATCCGGTAGTTATAAAAAGCCAACTTTGTACCGATACTTTCAACGGTACATACCAAGATAGCAGTGAACTAGTATGGGTCCGGATGAGAGTATGTACGATATTCAAGCTCACATCAAAGAATGGGACCGACACACAGACCTTATGCAGACCATATGAGACTTAAAAACATCGTAAACGATAAATTCAGCTGGGTTCCATGTGAGTTTCACAAAATGGTATGCAAATAAATGTAGTTCGCTAATTTCGTTCAATTTGGGTTCAACTAGAACATAAGGTTGACGGAAGCTCGGGGACTGCGCGTACCTGATGAGCTTTTTTGAAGGGAGAAGCCGATCGTGGTCTGTCGAAGTTTTCAGCAACCTTATGAGTAAGGTGTTGTGTCTATGAAGCAATTAATCTTTCACTGAATGAGTTTATTCATGTCAATGTTTTGTTTCAATTTTTAGTGTTTCAGTGTGACCGTTTCCTCAGTCATTCCTGTTGCGGCCGTCGGGACGCGGTCTGGTGTTCTGTTGATGCTCGACTGTTCGGAACCTACCACACTTCGGGTGGTCGAGAGTATCAAACTCTTTCACAATCCACTAAGTCACCTGGAGTGAGTGGTTTGCTGGATCACAAATGAGTTATCATTCTTGCAGCCAAATAAGCAGAATGCATTGTTTTCATCTGCTGATCGCTTACACTAAGATGCCCTCCACAGTGACCTAAATTTGAATATGTTGACTTTGGCTCATAAGTCTGTGTTTTCAGGGTGTAAACTGAGTAGTAGACGGGAAGGGCAGTTGATCCGAACCTATGAGAGAACTGAACATGATTTTCGTTGGCAAATCTTTAATTTTCAACAAACTTCAACAGAATAATCAAACTTTTCATACAAGATACTCAGGTGCATAGCCTAAATGTCGTTAAATGTAAGGTATATTACCGACAGGCGGAGGATGTAAACCAATATCTCTCATTGATAACCGTCAATTTTCACGGTTTAGGGGTAGGAAACAGAGTCGTTCGTTTTTAAAAACTATTTTGAAGTTTATTGGTGAACTTTTGGCAGCACGTCCGTGCCAGCAGGCGTGGTGTATATATGTGTGCCTCTGGGAGACTTGTTAGCTACAAAACATGTTGGAATCTGCACTTCACCTCCACGAGGCCACAGGCTAACATTAATGATAAGTGGTTCCCCAGCAGTCTGGCTCATATTCTGCAAACGAACCATTTTCATAAAATGCAAATGCGCAATGAAAATTTCCTCCTGGCTTTGACATCAGTATCGCAAATGTTTGTCAATGCTCCATTAACCTTACAAGCTACACCTTCATCTCTGGCGTGCTTCCATTAATAAGGGTCGTGTTCGGTTTGGTCGCCATAAGTTTTCCAAACCCATCATAACCTAAACCAACGATCCAGCTTGATAAACTGGGTAGGAAGGAACTAACTCAACGTTCTACACATATGTGCACTTGCGTCATCGCGTATTCACTGAAGGAGATTGAGTTAAAACAAAACCAAGGAATGGAAGTTGTTTTAATGAACTGACAATGTTGTGGAAGTTAATAGAATCTAGAACTCTGTGTTCAAAATTGGCCTGATTCCTAAACATCCTCAACTTAGTTTGGATGTGATATACTACTTTTCCTTCCCCTATAATTCCCTTCCTTCACTTCGCTTTTTAAGTTTTATACGTGCGTGTTTAATCGAGCACGCGATTTCCGTCTAGCTTCATATTAACTTGTTGATAATAGCCAAGACGAAGAATCATGAGAAACAAGCCTCCTCTGTTACCTTCTTTCTCATCACCACATCCAATGGTATCTTTAGTGGTATCCTCAGCTTCTACGGTGAAGAACCCGGGGAGCTTTTCACAGGTTACTTGTAAATGGCATGTGTATCTCACAGATTTCAATCGATGGCTGGTCAGAACGACTTCCACTAGGAAAACACAAGCAGCCAATCCTCTCTCAAGCTTGTGTCCCAAGTAAAGGTACCTTCAAAAGAAGGCTTGATCTCTTTAGAAAACGTTTTTCATGAAAAAACAGTTAGGCTTTAAAAGTGTTATCTGGAATGCCAAATAATTGCCGTTCCATCTATCCATTAGGCGGACATTTTGTTTTTTTCTGAATGTTCTTACTTCCACTTCTTTCCACAGGTTTGACGCCAGGGGTGATCTCCTCATTGCTGCAGCGGATGATGAATACAGTGTTGTACTCGCTGGACGACCCAAAAATAAGTTTGAGCCTCTTGGATTTGTGCGTAAGTTTATGAAGAATACTGGGTCCAACTTGCATTCTTTTTGTGCTTGAAATCAGTAGAAGACAAACAAATCGCCCGTATGGATTACCTGAACCATAGATTGTTCCGTCTTCGGCAATATCAGTAGAACAAAAGTACTGACAATTCGCTTTCCGAAAATATCCGATGCAAACAGTCAAGGCAGTTTTGTAGTTTGTTCTGTATATGGCTTTAAACCAAGTTGAGCTCATGCGGGAAAGGTGGCCACATGCTTTTCATTACCAAACGGTTGACTTGGCTGTGTGACAGACCTCTAATGGAATCAGTGACGACCAAGCTTTAGATATTAAGTGAAGGCCTAATGAGTAACCTTAGGAAGATCACAAAATTACTGTCTTCGTTAATAAGTAGAATATACGAACAAAGCTGACACACTTATATGAAGAAATGGAACAACGTCTTACATATGTATACTGATAACCCGGAAACAAATTGGCTTAAGTAGCACCATAATTGGAACACAGTACTTCATCTGATATCCTAGGAATGACGATTCCTAGGGAAAACAATTTGTATGGTGAAATACCACACCAGTACTTCAGACTTCACAAGATACTGACCATCATCAACATCTGCTAGTATGTGTTTGGTGGAGGGATTGGATCTCTCAAGAAGCAGCAAAAGACTGAACAAATTGGTACCAACGACGTCAAGTAGACCGTCCTGATTTGGGATAGGAAAGGACCCTAGTTAGTTAGCCCTCACCTTAGCTATCTCCATGTTTTAATATCCATACGTTTTGTTACTGCAGACTCCTTACTAGGGCATGGTTTTCTCATGGCTGAATGGCAGATAAGCACTAGATTTTGGTGTTAGTGTTGTCCTGCTGCCTATAGGAATGATGGTGATAAGTCTTTGAAGTGCTGGTAATCATTGTTTCCGACCTTCCATTTCTACCGGCGATAAAATAATGTAATCAGGTGTCGATTCTGGTCATTCTCAGTGTCCTACGTGTCCACCAAGTTAGCACATTGGAAGTAAATAGGCTTGCGGAATTTTGTATTCTGTACCTTTTGTGCGTCCCTGCATGTCCAGTTCAATTATAGTGTTCCTGGTTAAAAAGACAAGTCAAGTCTGTTTTCTCCGGTAGCAAATATCATAGTTTTATCCACTGTTCAGTTGATCAGTGGACGGCTTATATTTGCAGCTGGCGGATTTACCAAAGACCGTTTGAATCCTGTTGTGTCCACAAACAAGCACAAGCCTCACATTCTTTATTGGCTTTCATATGCGCATCTCAGTGGTGGGGCTGTTCTCAAACTCAAACATGAAAAGTTGTGCACCGCATAAGCCATAATAAGTTGTCGTCAAACACAATACATTACTTATAAGGTTTCTGAAAACTCTTCGGCACCCAACGACCTTTTTCGTTATACTCAGGGTTCATCAAGTGGGTGCGGTACCCGAGGTTCCACAAAGTGGGTGCGGTGCTCGAGGTTCCATCAACGTAAATTCTTTTCAGACATGTTGGGCATTAGGCTGCCTTTGTACAGCATATATAGTTGAAGAATATCGTAAACGAGAGATTCATTTGGGTTTCCCGTAAACACCAACGTAATTGTCAATTGAATGTTGCCAAACTTCGACAGGTAATTGCATTATGCAGAACGACAGAGCTCACGTCTTCATTCTCGGTCCGTGGATGTTGATGCGGACGGAGAAACTGATCAGCTTATGATATAGAAATAAAACTTTATCTATTCTCGAAGGGAAAAATGTTGCATTGTTTTCGAGAAATGCAAACATTTGCAAATCAATTTGGTTTTCACGGGAGACTCAATTGAATCTCCCGTTTATGATGTCCTCCAACTGAATGCGCTGCACACAGGCCGCCTCATGATTCAGTTGGCACGATATTCGAGATACCACAGTATACTTTCATAAAGGGAACTACTCTCAAGGTTGCTGAAAACTCTTCGACAGCCGACGACCGGTTTCGCCCTTCTTGGGGCTCATCAGGTAGGCGTAGTCCCCGAGTTTCCGTCAACCATATGATCTACTTGAACCCATATTGGACTGTTTTCGAGAAATACACTCATTTGCAAATCAGTTTGGTTTTCACGGGAGACTCAATTGAATCTCTCGTTTATGATGTCCTCCAACTGATGGGCGAAACCGGTCATGGGCTGTCGAAGAGTTTTGAGCAACCTTGTGAGTAGTTTCCTTTATGAGCCAGTCGGTGATCCGGAGGTGATGAATTCCGAGAACACTACTTGATGTGCACGGAAGGCCTTAAGTCCATTGGCAAGATACGTGCTCTGTATTTTTAGAACCAAAGATCACATTTTGTGGTCAGATGGTGTTTATCGGAAAGTTACGAAGGTCACATCTGTATTATCGGAGAAAAGTTTAGGGATAAAATAGTGGTCCCTATGGGCAGGGGGCTTTATTTCAATGGCCTATTGGGGTGAATATGTTTTAGACACTGATATTCTGGATCGCTAACTGTAAAATTAAATCTGGCAACGGAACATAAATCAAAATAAGGATAGCTTGAAAGTGGCTGCTGACTGTTCTTCATAGGTGCCAATGATCAAATGAACCCTTGGAGCCGACTCATTCTCTCCCAAAAGGAAAAAGCTACTAATTAAATTAAGATGATATACAGTTGTTGTATTTATCTGAGTTGAAACCAGTAGAAATACTTTGATGTTCATTTAAGGATCAGTGTTTCGAACTAGGTATTCAACCCTCTGTTTTCCTGAAAACGTCTCCAGTGGATATAGTAAACTTTCCCTCCTCATCTCTACCTCAGATCCTTCACCGGCTTTGAAAATGTACTCATCACAATTGCTGATGTTTCTAGCTAGATATATGATTTCAGTCATTCATGATAGGTTGCAAGACTGCTGCTTCGATCACTTCACACTCTCAGAACGCATAGTTCACGGAACGTTATTGGCGTGTGGGGCCCAGGTTCAGGGTCACTGTTCTGAGTATCGGCGGCGAAAACAATCAGAGTTCACTCGTGACGACGGGAGGCTGCTCCAATGGATACAAAACACAAAAAATCCATCTGGAGATGAAGATTTTTGGTGTGTTTTGCCGGAGTGCGATATGCACCCAGCAAAAATTCATTTGGAAAGTCAATGACTATTCAGTTTAACTCTGTCTACGGTCTAACAAATCATGATGCTCCAACATCTCCTAATTTTAATGCAAAGGAAACATCCATATGGATTTGAAATCAAATAAGACTTTATTTTCTGTCACCCTAGCAATCACTGGGAAAGTCAACGATCTGACAATAATGCGGCATGGTCCCAAAAAAATTTTCGTGTTGGTGACAATGGGGCTGAGCACGTCTTCAGCTGCCACAGAGCTTTATTTCTACGAGCTTACACTGGCTATGTTATTCAGTGAGTCATTCTTAGTTTCATTTTACGGGAAACTTATGAATAGTTTTCCTACCAGTTTTATATTTTCAGAATATTTCGGTTGCAATTAGTTCCATCGTCGTCAGCTTGACTTTATTTTGAACGACTGATTCCATCCCCTCTTAAATATATCCTCCTTACTTTTGCCCACCGCCCCTGGGAAATCATCCGGTGGTTATCTAAAGTACACATGGCTATGAGAACAGCAAACAACACTTATCATGTCTGAGTCTCATAGTTTATGAGACGTTACAGTGATTCTCTTCTGCAGTGCAATCCTCCGGAAGGAGGATGTCCGTCGGCTTGGCAGTTCTTATTGGGGCATCACTTTAGAGAAAATAGTTTTGTCTTGTGTCAAGGAACAACTTGTAGTCATGGTCTTTTCATGGTTTGTACTGGCTTGGGTGCCTTTGGATGTGCGTACACCTCGAAGCAATTGGGACAGGCTAGTAACAGGTCCATTCCCCGTTCACTCTCTAAGTAGCAGCTTACTAACAGCTTTGAAAAATCGTTGTAGTTATGCGGCACTAAATGATGGGCATCGAAACAGATACTGCTGTGTTGAAGAGATATGATCATCAAAACGTCATCCCTCCCAGTTGGTTTGGTAGCTAGGTTTTGGAAGGAACTTGAGGTAATGACATGGGCTTAACACAGCATCAGTATGTGGCCTCAATAATTCATCATCATCATCA